GGACTTGTGGCAGAAAAGTCGATCAGCTGATCATTGATCAGTTTCATGTTTGAAGTAATAACAGGAGAGGGAAGGGGAGCGAATGAGAGAAGTAGATGCAACTGCACAGCAAAGACAGAATAACTCCAGCTTTGTGTCTATTTTTTAATTCTAGTCCGGGACAAATCACTTCCTTTCCACCTCAACATGGATCAATACTGTGGATCAATACATCAGTTGTTAAGCTTAACGTGGAAACACTCTGCAAACACTCAGGGATGAACTTACACACTTGCTTCACTTCTCTGGGATAGTTTTCGCCGAGATGAAACGCCGCGGTTAGGAAGCATGTAGGAGGCTCCAAACGCTCCAGACCGCCGACAGGTCTCGACAACAGCCGCTCTGTCACGTGACACATACAGCTCCGATGCGCCGAGCTGGGTTACGCCAAGTAGCGCGTTTTGTGAGGTGATTTTGTGATACTTCGGATCGGATTACATTTTTTATTTTTCTCCGATATCCGATCCAGTAATTTAGGTCAGAATCGGACCGATACGTAATATCGGATCGGTCCATCTCTAATAAAAACTGAAACTCCTGAACCAAAAGCCAGGGGCTACTGAATCCTGACTGAAACTCTCAAACACCTGCACATCACTCACTATAGGATTTATTGACACTGATAATCTATTTTGGAAGCATTCTTCACTTTTATTAGCCCTCGTCAGCCGGTTAGGTACCCGAGTCCTAGCAGCTGAGGAGCTGTGCAGACTGCTCCATGTGACCGACTCTCCTCTTCCCGAGCTGCTGCAGTCAGGAATAGTTCTGTTTTATCTTCCAGCTCCACTTTCAGTGCAGCACATTACAGTCCTGGCTCCACAATGCTGTCACCAGCTCTTACTTTATGCTCAGTCGTTATCCCAGTTACTGACACAAGGTCACAATTTAAGACAAAGTGGTCATAATAAAGCACTAACCTACCAATCTCTGTAATTATAACTAACATAAGGAACCTTATGAAAATGATTTCATTACCTCTTAAAAATGAGACTCTTTAGTTCTCATTGAGACTGTCACTGTGCCTCACCAGCTGATCTCTATTAGGCAACATGTGTTTTTTGCTCTCTCTCTCTCTCTCTCTCTCTCTCTCACCTGCAGGGGCGGTGCTCATTATGGGCTCCGCCCCCGGCCCACGCACCTGCCATCTCCACACCTGCTGCCTCTCTGGGTGATCGAAGGCCTATTTAAGATGGCAGCACTGTGTTATTCGTCGCTGGTTGAGCGATCAGCGTCGGTCACTCCGGTGGTTTGTATTAATAAACTGTCTGCTCTGCAGGTCTGCGCCTGAGTCCATTCACTAAAACCTGACAGAGACTTGGCTCGAACCACAGGACGCTGCCCTCTTGTGGAAGTTCTCAAATCAGCTTTTATGTTCCCTACTTAAGCTCACTGTGGTTGGGAATCTAAGTTACACATTGATGATTCTTCTAACGCTGACCAAGTCATTGAATTTAGTGAAACATGTTACTCGTCCCAGTCAAAACAGTGGGCAGCACCCTCGACCGCGTTTTCACCCTCGATCCATCCTGAAACTCCCGGTGTGTGTCTGTTTTACTGTTTTGTTTTCACACTTCTACACGTTTTGTCTTCCCACAGGACATCTAGACACTTTTTTCTACTTAATAAGAATTTGCCTGCTACATTTTCAGCTCATTCAGCTGTGGTCCATCAGTTACTTGGACTGGTTGAAGGTATTAGCAGACAGCATAACAGAAAGAAAGGCAGGAAAGCGAAGGTGAGAGTAGGGACTGGAAAATGTAGGCTGTATGAGAGGTAAAGGGTGGGAGCTGGCTAGATCGGTAGAAGGAAGGCAGATATATGTGCAGGAGACCAGGTGGAAGAGAAGGAAGGCCAGGAGCAATGGACTGAAAAATGTTCGACCATGATGGAGACAGGAAGAGAAATGGAGGAAGGCTAATTCTGAAAGGACAGGATCAGTCCGAGTCTGAAGCTGGAAATCAAACGGGTGATGTTGTTATTGGTGTTTAAGAACCACAGGTTGGATGTCCGTTTAAGGAGAAAGACTAATTCTAGAGTAAGATGGATTAAGTAGGACACAGTGTCCATAGGGGAGAGAGTGGGGACTGGAGAAGACTTCAGTGGACATGTAGGTGAAGAAAACAGATGTTTTCAGTAGGTATGGTATTAAGGAGAGAAACGCAGGAGGACAGATGTTGGTGGATTCTGATACTTCAGAAGGATGAGGAACATAGCATAGCAAGGCAAGGGGCAGGTATGGTGGAGGTTGAAGGAGGAGGAATACTCCACAAAGTTCAGGGAGGAGCTGAGAAAGCACGACTGGAGTGCTGAGGAAATCCTGGTGTCTCCTCTTGGACAGAGGAAGGAGAACATGAAGTTTTGGTGATACAGGAAAGCATTCACAGGAAGAGGTTGGCAATGAAAAGGTTCAACAGTCATGGAGATGAACAAAGTAGATGGGAGGCTAGATGTACAATAAAGAGGGAGATGGCAAAGGAAAAGCGTTATGTGAGAATGAACACTGTGGAAAGAGAAAAGGAGTGGGTTCACCACAGCCAAGGCCTAGACACGTGCAGAGGAGGGAGAAAGCATTTGGACAAAGGACTTCGAAGATAGAGCAGCCAGCAAGGACGACAGGAAGAAGACCACAGAGAAGGTTCCTGGATGTAGCAATGGAAGACATCAGGAGGGTTGGTGTGGGAGAAGAGGATGCTATGGATAGGGTGAGATAGAGTCAGGTGACCCCCAAACGGAAAAGCCGAAACACGTCATAGAAGTAAGATTAAGGCATTTATGAGTGCTACATTTTCACTATTCCCACTCCAAAAGAAAACAGTCTCGCTGGGATACAGATGTTTCTCAGCTTTAACACTGCACACCCATCTGGTCACACAAGGTGGGCAAGGCTTGTTCCCATGAGGAAAACTCCAGCGTGGGGTCTGAAACAGGAGATTCCTGCCAGGACGTCAAACTGACTTATGTCTGAATCAAAGAGAGCTTTGATCATTTGTTATTTCGCGAGAATTTGCTCTCGTGACTGCTTTTGTTAAGCTCCTAACTCTCATGGCACGACAACTAACCACAGCACATGGTAAAATAGAGCGTTTCTTATCTCTATACCACCTGCAGAATAGTTTTATTTCTTTCACTAAGCAGACACTTTTGGTCAGGGAGTTAACCGGTAAGTAGCCAAGATCACATTTCTAATGTGCTCTGCTTTGATTAGATTATATGCACCCACATGCTTACTTTGGCGTCCTTTCAAGGACACTTTGAATAAGCAAACACCATTCGTCATCAAGTCACTGTAGTCTGCTGTCAGTGTGGAAGAAAAATGAATCGTAATCAGATTTACAGACACTCCTTTTCTACACAAAGTAACAGTAACAGCCCTCTTATTTGTCCAGTACAGGTGTCTGCATCACAAAGCTGTTACACCATCAAGCAACAGCACGAAGTCACTGCAGCTGATAAAAAACTATTTAAATTGAGAAACAGCTAAAAGAAAGTGTTTTCACCTGAAACTCTGACACCAGACACAGAACAGCATCCACACAATAAAAGCTAATAGCTGTTAGTTGTTATTAGCCAACCAGTATTAAGTCACAACATATGCCTGTCCTTTATTATCCTGGCACACAGGTAGGCGTGCCAGGATAACAAAGATAACACATTAAAGTGGAAAGATTAGCCTGAGTAACAGTAAGACTGAGTAAGCTTTACTGAGGCAAAGGACATTTATCTAGTTGCTGTTTACTTCCCCAAGCCTTCCAGCAAACCCCAAGGACACTTTGGTTAATGACCGCCCACTTTAAAATCTACTGGCTTTTATTTTGCTGTATAGTTGGACATGCATGCAATTTAACCGCTGAGGGAATCAGTCAAAGGGTCGGACAGCTGACAACGGCTTTCCTCTACAGCCCGAGCTGAGAATCTAACACATAAAACCCAGGAAACTTTAACTAAAGGTTACATCTACAAGTAAATAAAGATGGTAAATGGCCTGTATGTGTATAGCGCTTTACTAGTCCCTAAGGACCCCAAAGCGCTTTACACAACCAGTCATCCACACATTCACACTCTGGTGATGGCAGTTACATTGTAGCCACAGCCACCCTGGGGCGCACTGACAGAGGCGAGGCTGCCGGACACTGGCGCCACCGGGCCCTCTGACCACCACCAGTAGGCAACGGGTGAAGAACACAACGACCAAGACTGTCCAAGCCGGGGCTCGAACCAGCAACCTTCCGATTACAAGGCGAACTCCCAACTCTTGAGCCACAAGTAACTAATTACAATCACAATAATATAACAAGTAACCAACAGGAATTAAATACGTGGACTTCCTTTTATTATTCATCTACATAACTACCACGGTTAATTTCAAAGCGTACTTGAACAGTCACGTTGACCCATTCGTTAAATATCTGTGGGAAAGTGCAGCATGACGACGTGTTTAATAACACAAAACACTCATCATCCAGCATCTGACTGAAGCCTTAAATACTGTTCATAAAAATATGGAAAACGTCTTGTTTTCCTATTTATGTGAAACACATACTGCACAACCACCTGTGTCACAAGACAAGGCGTGAAGCTTGCACTGAGATACTAACGGTACAGTTTGGTATGTTTTGTTGTATATTTGTTTTTGGACAAAGACACCATTGTCGTCATTTTCCTACGTACGTGTCCACAATACATTTCAAGCAATCAAGATGGAACTGACGGGCAGACTTTCAGTTTTCCTTCCATAGTTTAAAAAAAGAATTGCATTAACTGTTTACAGACTTTGTTAAACCCAGTCTCTCGTTTCCATGATCTCTACAGAAACTACTCACATTCCAATTATTTCAAAGCACTGCCTTTGATGAAGCAATCAATGTGCTGTGGGTTGGTGTCTCGCAGCGTCTATCACCCTCAGACCAATGTGTTGGTGAAGCAGCAGATAAAACTCCACAATTCTCACGGATGAATGCATTTGGGATCACTGCCTGGACCCTCTGCTGTTGGCCCTGTGGGAGCTACGCCAGGCCTCCACAGGACTTTCTCCCTTTGAGTTACTCTATGGCAGGAAGCCGCGGGGGTGTTTAAAGAAAACTGGGAGGAAAGTCCAAGCCCACCTAAGAAATAAATTCAATAAGTTCTGGCTAAAGCTACACACAGTGGGGAGGTTGTCATTGGAGAATATCCTCCAGACCCAGGAACAGGAACCCAACAGAGGGGCGAGGCCCAGACCAGTGCTGTACTGCTCCCTTTCTCTAGCTCAAAGTTACTCGCCAAGTGGCAAAGAGCCATGGTGGGGGACGTTGACCTTAACCTCCTCAAAGCATCGCGAGAGGCTAAAACCACTTCTCCGGCGAGCCTGGTGAAGGGAAAAGATAAGCTGGGGCCGGGGACGCCATGTTTCACTATTCCCACCTCCCTCCATTGTGAGGACTATCTCACACAGGCCCAGAGGGCGGATGTTGCTGCGATGCAACAGCGTTTTGCAGATGTGTTCTCCTGCCTGGTTGTACCACTCACATAGAGTACAATTTTCAGTTACCTAAACACAAAAGACAAATTGTTAAGATGGAATAGGCGGAAGATTCACGCGTGGTGAAGAAAGATGGGTCTATATGGTTCTGTGTTGACTACCACAAGACCTGAACGAGGTCTCACAGTTTCATGCGTATCCCATTCCCCGGGTCGACGGGGGTGGTTGATTGCTTTCGCCATTACCTCCTGGGGCGCTCTTTCACCATCCGGTCAGATCAAACCCTGCTACAGTAGCATGAAGCATGAAGCATGCCAACACCCAGATCACCCAGTTGGTCCATAGGCTGGGGTACACATAGTCACTGCTGATCATGGGGTAAGGTAGGCTAGGCTGCACGGCTCCCCAGCCTAGGTCAGAAGTGGGGGACAGGGTGTGGTTTGTGGCTCAACTGCAGGGAAGGGGAGGAGCAGCGGGTTCAAGGTGTGGCGTCATCAGCTCATTATGCCTCCTCTATTTGAGTGCAATGCAGGGACCTGATGATAGAGCAGTGATTGGCTGAGCTGGAGATCTGTGGAGTGGACTGACTGAAGAACACTGTAAACAAACATACACTTGGGTGTGGTTTAGCTCAGTGGGATGAGCGGGCAACCATATGGCTGAGAGCGGCGGGCCCGGGCTCAGGGTTCACATGTCTCCCCCCCCCTCACTCTCTCCCTCTGCTTTCCTGTCAGTCTTCACTGTAACTATCCAATAAAGCCAGAAAAAGGCCTAAAAAGAATCATTTAAAAATAAACATTTCATTGGCAACGAGAATATGATTCCCAGAGAAAACATAAATATTGATGTTTAACATGATTTAAATGTGTTTGTGTCATCATTTGATCATTTTAATGATATATTTGCTTTTTCTCACCACGATACACAGAAAGCTTTGTAGCTGATTATAAACACTTTCACATGGAATACCTCGTTGAGAATGCTTTCCAGTGTGGGAGGTGTATCCACTTGTGGAATGTCAAACTCCTTATCATCAATCTGAGAACAAAAGTAAAACAGAAACAGGATCAGAAAGCTACACTAGTGTCTCGGTTTCCTGCTTTAACTGTTCATGTACACAACGCATGTTAGCACAAACCAACACAAGAGAGCATACAGCACAATTATGACTACAATTTAAAAATCCATATAATTGTAATTTGTGACTGAATATTCTTCAAACGAAGCTTTGCTTTGCAAGGAAAATACATTTGTTGAGTATGTGGGTAGTGCCCATGAAAAACTTGCCAACCAGCTTATTTTGCTATTTACTGTTTGCTGCTGTTTATTTGATGCCTGAAGTCTAAGGAATCGAGCTATATTTGCAATTTAACAATTCTTCCATTTAACAAACTGGAGCTTCAGTAGCACGTGGAAGTTTTAATCACTGCACTGGTTCAGGACAGTCTGACTGTTTGTGGAAGCCAAGGCAAAAGGTGCTTAATCCACATGAATCAGCTGTGCAAAGACCTGCAGACTGCAGCTTACAGCCATTACAAGTTAAAGGAAAGTTTTCACTGCTAAATTTACTGTTGTTAATGAGTCTGAAGGTTGATTTTATATGGACAACAGCTGATGCACTTGTGCCCATGAGGAACACAGACTTCATTTCTTCTCTATAAGAATCATGACTCTGTGTCCTAAAAACATTATTTGACACTATTTCCCTTTTTAAGCAGATCGTGCTGCTGCAGACTCCAGTTGAAACGTCCACTCGGTGTGTGGCTCCGGTTCTCACACTCGGTCACATCTAATAAAGATGATCGTGCTGCGGTTTACAGACACATGTAACGACAGCTGTTCTATCCTGAACGCTCTGCTTTTTAAGCCCAACATAAAGGAGAAGTGCTGCACTCTGTGTGTACACATGCTTCGATGCAGCTGACCAACAGATGGCAGCATTAGATAGCTACACTGTGTTATGAGAGCCTTCCATAAATATGTGCTAAGGTTACAATGCAGGGATATGTTACTAATATTACTTTACATGACAGCAGCACAGTGTGAAGCCTGTTAGGAATGTCTCAGTTGAAGAAAGAGACCCTACAGAGTAGAAAAGTACATTTTAATTATTGCTGAAACACATTCCACTGTGTAATATCACAATTAGGGGCAGATCATTCTGACAGAGAGCAGAACAAAAAGCAGTCAATATCCAAAAGAGAGCTTTGAATGTCCTCATGAAGCCAGAAGACTCCTTAACCCTTTAAGACCTACCATAGAACCAAGTCCGCCAGAGCTTATATTATAT